CCCACTTGCCGTGGCTGACTTTTGCTCGCTCGTGTGGGTAATCTCGCCTTTATACGGTGGAGTTCTCCAATTTCCAGATTGGACGCTGGAGCTTTGGTGGGGAATATCCCTCCTCTTGAGCCTCCTTTCCACCTTCACAGATTTGTCCAATAATTCATCCATGTCAAGATAATGTTGGAGCTCCACAACATCAGCAATTTCAGCGTGTAGTCCTCTCAAGAAACGTGCCATGGTTGCTTCTATATCCTCCCGAACATCAGGCCGTAGCATGGCCATCTCCATCTCCTTGAAGTAATCCTCAACTGTCAAACTTCCTTGGGTGAGAGTTTGCAATTTATGGTGCAAATCCCTGTGGTAATACGTTGGTATGAAGCGCTTTCTCATGATCCTTTTGAGTTCTTCCCAAGTGCGAATGAGTGGTTCTTCATTTCTCCTTTGTCTGGTGCGAATCTGATCCCACCAAACGGCTGCGTATTCAGTGAACTCAATGGTTGCCAACTTCACTTTTTGGGACTCTGAGTAGTGGTTGCAGTCAAAGAGCATCTCAATCTTCCTCTCCCATTCCAAAATGCTTCAGGGTCCGACTTCCCTGGGAAGGTAGGAATTTTGAGCTTGATTCCCTTTAGTTCATCATCCCCTTGATTAGGGATGCGTTTGTAATGTCGGAATCGGTTTCCATCTGCCATGTCCTCCTCATTGTTCGAATCACCTAACTCCTCCACGTATGGTGGTCTCTTGGTGGCATTCTTGCCTAGGGTTGATTGCTCCACCTTATCCTCCAGTGTATCAATTCTCTGAGCCATGCGATCAATGGCGCCTGTTAATGCTTCAAGAACATGTTTCATGTCATAAGGGTCACTTGTCGCATGAGTTTGAGACATGTTTATAGAGTATCTGCAAGGCTCAACAAACAGTTAGTAGAAACTGCCTCACTCACTCCCTTACGTGTTTCACTCACACTCGTGTTTTCACACACTAAACTCTCTAATTATAAGCTTGCCAAATATTCTCAAAGCTTTGATTTCACCTTTGAAGAGGTTAGATTAGCTCAAAAGTTGTTCAATGGCTTACCAAGGGTAAGATCACTTAGCAGGTGGGATGAGTTTTAGGGACTCAAAACTGATTTTGGAACTCGACTCAACTAAGACAAGTAACACACACGAGACTTGATGCGGACTTGATGCGACTCAATGAGGGACGCAACTTGACTCAAATAAAGCAAGGAAATAATGGCGGAAGTTTTGGATCCTAGATAGGACTTACTCGATCTTGCACTTGGCTTTTTTTTTTTTTTTTGGAAGGTGTAACACACGACTTCTTGGACCTTTTTGGGTAGGAGTTGCGGCTGGTGTAGGAGTTTCCTACGCTGTTCAAGTGCCAATCAGAAATTGGGATTCCAAGTAGAGCTAGGATTTGTGAAAGCAAACCCAAGTCAACTAGGTTTCCTAATTCTAATAGGTTTAATGATAGGGCCGAATCTGGTTTTGTTTGCTTCTTTCCTCCTTTTTTTTTTTTGGTGGTAGTATGACACAAACCAGGTTGTTATTTTCTTCTCCCAATTCGGCACAACCCAAGACAGATTTCAACTATGGCTTTGAACAAGAACAACCGTGACTTTCAAGAATCAAGAACTATGTGAAGTTGGTTTCAAGAATTTTAAGAAACACCAACGGTTTTCAAGATTTGGTCCAAGATTTGTTTGCAATTCCAGATTTGATTCAAGAGTTTCAAGAATATCAACAAGGTAAAACAGCCGTGCAAGATACAATTTCCCAACCCTCTTGTTCAAGAAATCCGACTTTTCTTCAACAAGATTAGCGACCAGAATTTTCTGTTTTGTTTTTTTTTTGTTTTTTGTTTTTTTTGAATGAAGGCTCAAATGGACAGACCTGGACACGACTTCAACAACAAGGTGAGAAGCAAGTGCGGACAGAATTTTGTTCAACAACTCCACGACCAGAAATTTAACAATGACCAGAAATTTTTTTTTTTTTTGGTTCTAAACAAACGAACAGATTGGGATAAACATATATGACTCGAAATACACGAAAAAAAAGATATAACCTGGTGGTTGTCGACTAGCTCTGAAACCAACTGAAGTGAAACCCCGATCTAGACAACCAAAACACCATGGCTTAGGCAGCGAAAATTTGACCCAACTAATCCCTAGAAGTCACGAACAATTTTGATATTATCTCAACCCGTAACTACTCGAATTAACGAACCAAATTGGAGGTAGTAGAACGCCACAATCAAGGAGATACTCGATTGATAAGTTCGGGTGAATAACTTGAGAAGATTCTCAAGTATTCAAAGGAAACTCTCTTGCCAAAGAGAAAGTGAAAACTCACTAATTGTATTTAATAGCCAAAAACTCCTCTGAAACAAAGAGGAAGTGGGGCTATTTATAACCCTTACAAGCATTAACCCTAATCCAAAAGTTGACCAAACTACCCTACATACTTAAGAAAGATTTTGGGCCTTACTTACTAACAAATGGGCTGCAATTAAACTAGCTTAATTACCTAGACTTTCTAAAGCGAGAAATAACCAAAATCAACGAGGAAAATCAAATAATCCTACTAAACTCAAGCATTCGTGCAATCAACTAGTCTTCACTTGAATCTTCCAATTCCCCATGTGCTTGAATGGGCCTTGGTCATTATATTCTCATCATTAATTGGCTAGACACTTGGATCATTGGTTGTGTTGTTGTTGATATTGCTTGCAAACAAGCAATGATTCAAGTGTGAGGAAGTTGATAATGGTTAAATTTGTGATATTTTTGAATGTGTTTCACATTATTTTGAGTCAATTTGTAAGATTAAATGATATAAATTGTTCATTTTAGGTCACTAATTTGCACCTTAAGTTGATAAATGAATTAGTTGTGATTTTGTCATTTTACTCGCAAAATTTCGTTGTTTTTGTAGGTAAAATGATCAAGTTCAATTGGAAGCGAAATGCATGAGGATAGAAACTTGAGAAGTCACAACAAATGTTAAAAGAAGCGGCGCGAGAAAAAAAAATAAGAGAGAAGAAACCCTCGAGGAATCTGCCCACGGTTTCTCCTGTGGTTTGTGGCCAGAATATCGTTTCTCATATGCTCTGTCCAATCCCTACGAGAATCGCTTGAGAGATTCGTCCGAGGGATTCCTGGTAGTTGCAAATTGCCAACTTGCATGATTTTTCTTTCTTTCTCCATTTTTGACAAAACAAAAAGGGACAATTTGTACCAACTTTTGGGAGTTTTAGGAGTTTCTCTTTTTGACATTTTGGCTCCAATAATACAAGACTAAGAATATATATTACTTAGCTCTTCTAGTTTCGCAATTAGTTCAAGTTAGCTTGAGAGAAGAGAGAGGGCTTGGAGAAAGAAGAAGAACAACTAAAGGGTTGTGTCTAAATGTAACTCCCTTTATTTTCTCTTGTTTTAGTAGAGGTTAGTGTAGGATAATCTAGTTATTGTTATCCATCCTTGTATTGGCTCAACAAGGAGGCTAAAGGAAATGAAGAAAGAGAGGTTCAAGAAACTCTAGTAACAAGGGTTTTCTTCTCTCCACTTATTTAATCTTTCTATTGAATTCTAAGTTTGTTAATGTAAGATTTGAATTTTATGTTAGTGATGTTATTTTAAAGTATATGCCTTGGGTATTTGGTTGAACTTTCTATGATTGTTTGGTGTTGATTTCTTGGCTAATTGATTGCTATTATCTTGATTGAGTTATTAGCACTTTTTTTCTTATAATCATGATTAACTAGCCATTGATTATGATCATTTAAAGGTGTTAGATTTGCAATGAGAATTGGAATTTGATACTAATTCGTGGAAGTGTTAAACCTTAGGAGTACACTCAGGAAAGTAGAGGTACACCTTTATGACTTTTGTGATTTTGTTTAGGACTGTCAATAGGGACGGTCTAGCCCGAACTCAGCTCGTTCGACTCGAAAAAAAACCCGATGAGTCCAACCTTTTAGTGAGCCAATCTAAATTTTAACCTAAAAATTAGGCCCGAATTAAATGTGAGTCGAATTTGGGCCTCATTAAACTCAAATTTGATATAGGCCCGACCCTTAAATTACCTATATATATAATATTTAAATTACCTAGTGGCGGGAGATTTTAATGTGATCTCCAATATCACAGAACAGACAGGGGTGCCCCCCCAAACAGTCAAAACATGGACGAGTTTAACAAAGCAGTATCCAGTTGTGGCCTCTCGGAGGTCAGTTTTGACGGCCCTCCATTCACTTGGACAAATGGCAAGGTTTGGCAGTGCCTAGATAGGGCACTAACAAACGAGGCTTGGACAGATACGTTCGAGGTCACCAAGGTGTCTCACTTGGTCCATGGCAGATCAGACCATGCCCCGCTTCTAATCAGGTGCGACGCTAATGGTGGGAAGAGCTCGGCATTTCGCTTTCTCAATGTCCGGACCAAGTCACCAAGCTTCAAGGATGTGGTAAAAGAAGCTTGGCTAATCCGGTTAGCAGGAGGTATGGTTGGCTTTCACCAGAGACTCTTGAATGTGAAACGGAGTCTCCGCTTTTGGAACAATCGGTCTTTTGGGCATATCTTTCGGGCGGTGACTCAGGCGGAGGAGGAGCTACGGGACCGGCAAGTGGAGTTTGATGCCACTCAAGATGACGTGTCTAGAGCATGTTTAGGGGAGGCTAAGGCAAGGCATGCACGGGCACTGGCCATTGAATGCGACTACTGGAAACAAAAGTCAAGTATCAAATGGCTTCAGCAGAGGGATGCGAATACCAAATTCTTCCATTCAGTGGTGAAGCAACGATGGAGTATGAATTTCATCTCACGTATCAAGGAGGAGGGGGGTCAGTGGATTGAGGAGGAGGTGACTATTCAAGAATGCGCTGCCCGCTTCTTTGAATAGTTGTTTACATCCGAGCGGGAAGGCAGGGCCAACCCAGTGTTAAACTTTCCATTGCCAGCTTTGAGTCAGGAGGATAATGTTGGCCTTCAGAAATTGCCGTCGATGACGGAGCTACAGGAAGTGGTTTTCTCCATGGCAAAGGAGACGGCGCCAGGACCGGACAGCTTTGGAACGGTCTTCTACCAAGATTGTTGGACAATAATTCAAGGGGAACTATTGGATGCGATTCAGGAGTTCTTTCTGGGGGTTCCCCAACCCAAGGGGTTCTCTAGTGCATTGATAGTCTTAATCCCTAAGGTGTCCGGAACTTCACAATGGCGGGAATTCTGGCCCATCAATCTATGCAAACTAAGTTCAAAAATTATCTCCAAAATTTTAGCGAATTGTCTCAAGCTCCTGCTTCCTAAACTAATCTCACCGTGGCAGTCGGGATTTGTTCTGGGACGGAGTATCGTGGATAACATCCTTATCGCACAGGAACTAGCCTTGGACCTTGATAGGCGGCTGAGTTGTCCGAACTTGATGTTGAAGTTGGACATGGCGAAGGCCTATGACAGGGTAGAATGGACCTTCCTCATGTTTATGCTTCGGCGTCTTGGCTTTCAGGAGGGGGCGGTGGATCTGGTTTTTAGAATCGTATCAAATAATTGGTTCTCGGTTCTGGTCAATGGGACCCCAGCGGGTTTCTTCAAATCAACGAGGGGAGTCCGGTAGGGTGACCCCCTCTCCCCGGCCTTGTTCTTATTGGTCGCCGAGTTTTTAGAGGGCAGTCTCGATGCTTTGAAGGAGTTTCTGGATTCGTACCAGGCGTACTCGGGCCAGAAAGTTAACTCGAGTAAAAGTTCTTTTGTCGACGCAGGCAACTAGCGAGCAGCAGGCCATGGTGGTCGAGAAGCTGCAATTTAGGCAGCAGCTGCTGCAATTCTACACATAACTTCTCCCTCAATCAACATATCAAACCGGTATTGCAAATTTCACGAATTTGTTCATGATTGTGTTACTCAATTTAGATCCAATTTGTACATGGGTCTTTTCTTATTAATATGAAGTTTCGGATGAAACTTTATTTAAGAGGGTAGAATGTGAAACCTCTCATTTTTCATCCTATTATTATTATTATTTCTCAAATGTCTAATATAATTTTAAATAGACAAACTAAATAAATAGGATTGTCAAGAATTTTATTCTTAACTAACTAACTCCATAATAGTGTGTTGTTGTCGTCCAAGTTAGTGGGGTGTTAATTCATATTAGTAGGCAGATAAGGATAAGCGTTCCATTGGGATTTGACAACCTAAAATATAACTACACCTAATAACTAGCTTAATCAATGACACTTCCACTTCTTTCTTATTAAAAACTAGAACGAAAATGAGAAAGAAATGCAAAAAACTACCACTAGCTTGTATGACTCGATGACATAGCATGATGATTCTATAGCGATTGGTGGTTGAAAAAACATGGAAAGGTGACATGGAATCTTAAACTAATTTTAACAATTTCGGAGTTGGCTATCAGGAATTGGACCGAAACAAGGGTCTTGGGTTTTGAGGTATTTTAGCTAATTTATGTTTTGGTGCTCTTCCGTTTGGTTTCTCTCGTTTGATTCAGTACATGGACTTTTAAATCCTCATGGATGAATGCCATACAAAAACATGTGTCTATAGTTTTGAGTTAGTCATCTGTGACTTATTTATTCAGTCCTATGTTGGTTATATTCAAGGAAAGTCTTTACATAAAAGTCACTTATGAATTGATTTGGTTACTGAGGAGCAATAATATCATGGCACGTAAACCATTTTGGTTAAGTTTGAAATTGGCTGCAAATGCGATATCTAATCTTTAAAGGCCGAATTTTGTTTGGGTTTTCAAATTGATTTGTGAATCATGAAATGGACTCTTCATCTATGAGTAATTTTTACTAAAACTCGGACCAACATTACTTTGTCTAAATTGCTATTTTAAGCGGCTTCAAAATGGTTGGATTTAACTAGTTAATGTGTTTTAGTAATAAGTTCTCAAATGTTGGCCATTGGCCAATTATGTTTAAAAAACTTTTTCATTTGTGGCATTATTAAGCTGGTGTCTTTAGAAATGATTATGTGATCACTAATTGTGATTAACCAAGTTAATACAAGGATGACTCTTTGCAATTAAAGTCTAGATTTTATGACAAAATTCATTATTGACAAAAGGACTATTTTTACAAAGCACAAGAGTTAAGAAATGACCACTATAGTTCTAAGATAATCATGATAAAGCAATTAAAGTATTTTGAAAATTTTTTTATGGTTCAAAAGGTTTGACATTGGATAGGTTTTGAATTAAGTAGTCCTCTTGGTTAAATTGTGAACTGATTTTGAATTAATTAGTCTTATTGGTTAAATTGAGTCCAAAATGTTTTAGAATTTATCCAACAAAAATAACAATATAGTGAAATCCCCAAATTAATTAGGCCAAGTTGTCTTCATAAATTAGATTATTTTAAAAATTCAAATTTATAGCAATGCCCAATTTTAATTGGACACCTCACAAAATTTATTTTAAAAGTGCAATGTTATTAGAATGGCCCAGTTTTGCTCAAATGAACTCAAATATGCTTCTAAGTGCCCAAGAGAAACATAAATCCAAATATAAATTCAAACAAGAATTTTTCACGAATGGGCTTAGCTCTAAGGTTAAGTCCAAACTCAAATCCAGTTGGAATTAACGAAGGCCTCTTCATGCTAAAATAGAAAGTTTCTTTTTGAATATATCTATTTAGGCAATTTCTTAAAATAGAAAAAAGTAAAGGTTTTCAAATCAGGGAACCTTCTAAGAATGAAAACTTTTGAAATTAGAAAACTTTCAAAGGGAAGGCCTTCCATTTTAGGAAACTTTTCGGTGCTTTTCATAAAGGATTAGATATGTTTTCTAGGATTAATTAAGATAGAGGTAAGCACTCTAAAAAAAGGACATGTGAACTAATTAAGATATATATGTCACTGACTAAAGGTTGGAAGCAAGTTTAAGAGCACGTTAAGGATCTCTTAAATTGAACAGTTACATGTAGATGGTGTTTTCCTCTCTATATTTTCAGAATGTTATATATGAATTTTCTCAAGTAAATGCTTTATATTGATATATGAAAAATGGATCATGTATGCCTATTTAAAATGTTTTGTTACACTATGTTTTATGAAATGAGTAGCATATTTTCAGGAAATAAAGGAAATGTGCATGTAACGAGTGAAATGATTTTATGTTACGAAAAACTCTACAAGGTCATGAGATAGACAATAGAGACTATAGTCCTATCATGTATGACGATCAAATGAAGATTAGGGAAAATACTTGATCGATTATAAATAGCCATGGTAACCATTGTACTCGACTGATTGACTCATATATAGGTAGATCAAGTGAAGAATAGGGAAAATGTTCAATCTACCAACCTCATAAAAGGGCTTAAATTCTAAACTGAGTGCTTGGAAGTTAAATATTTCATGTATTTGTTTATGAGTTATGGTTTATGAAATGAGATGATATGATTGATATGTTTTATGATTTGAAAGTATATTCAACGAGTACGATCCTGTCATGTTATATTTTTCTTTCACTGCCACATTCGGCGACAGCCATCTCTAGAACCTATGGAACTAAGTGTCGTATCGAACGAAGGCGATTTATATGTATGCCACTCACCTTGAATGAGATATGTTTATGTAATATATGAAATGGTACCAAATGTTTTTATTTGATGTTTGCATGTGTTATGGTGTGACCAAATTTGCAAATATATATAGTATGTATATAGTTATATGATCTGACAAAGAAGTAAGTATTATTCACTGGTGTACGTCACTTAACCCATGTTCGCTGAATTTTTCTTACATATCAAAAATTTAGGATCATGTACGTTAGAAGATAGAAGAAAGTTAGATAGACAGACGCTTCATAATGAGAGTATAGAGTACGGATTTAGCAATTGTATTAGTTTGAATATAATCGGTATTTCTTTAGTAAACATAAGTTTTAATTTTAGTGAATTTCTTTTTTTTTTAAAAGCTATGATCATGATGTTTTGTATTCATGAGAGTAAGGTCTCCTGAGCACGGCGTGCCATGTTGCAAATCTAATTCACGAATACAGATTTGGGTGTGATGTATTGTCTAATGTATAAGTATATGTACATCCTTTTTTAGTTGTGTACATTTCTAGAAATTAATGTGCAGTGTCTAAAAAGCTAAACATCATTTTTATCATCTTCCTAAAATTGGAAAAATATAGTACATCTATCATAACAAACTTAAAGGGTGTGCGAATGATGCCCTACAAACTATCATCTTGATGACGTTGAGTGATTTCGTTTGACTGTCTTTCAGTGGAGTACTTATTTTTAGACATTTTTTATTACCCATTCTGGAAGTCTAATTGAATTCTTACTTGCACTCAACACATGTTGAAAGAGCATATGAGCTTATTTATAATTGAGAATCTATTCAATAATCATATTGCAACTTTCATTAAGGTCATTATAGTTGTAAGTGATTATTGCAATCTGTGATTACAAGATATATTCATAGTTATTACAATTGCAAGTGTCACTCTAAACTCTTAGGAATATCTATGGTTGCATAAAAATTACCTACTAATAGAAATCAGATGCCAATCATTATACTTGTGACAAGCATTTTTGCAAAATTTTAATCATGGTTCATGTATAGAAAGATTGTGAAGAGGGATCACAATAGGTTCTTATGATATAGATTTTATTATCGATAAATAATAGCAAAATTAGCAAATGTATGAAACAACTATACTCTGTGTGTGTCTATATATATATATATATATATATATATATATATATATATATATATATATATAAAATACATACATACATACATATATATATTTATCAGGATAAAAGAAAATGAATGAAATAGAGAGAAATGAAAAAGAAAATGAATGGGAAAAAAGAGAGAAAGAAAAACACGTACAACAAAAGTAATTTTGCTAACAAAGTCTAGAAATGGAGTAAAATGCCTAACAAAAAAGTTTAGGAGGCAATTGCAACTTAAAATACAATTGAGAGGACGTTTAGTTTATTTAGCCATGGTTGTTAAACTCGGTCAGGACAATCGATTCAATTAGTCGACTCGAAGAACTGACCACTTGATCAGACTGAGTTGCTAATTTACCAGATAAGGGCGATAAATGTTGAAAAGTCAACATTTCATTGAGTTTTTGTTTTGTTGGAAAAATTTTAGAAATGTTATGACACAACTAAAGATGTTGATGTCCATTTGTATTTCCAAGAAGATTGATTCATGAATCCTCCACAAGATTCATTAGTATATTGGATGAATCCTTTCGTTGTTTGTTAGTTCATTTATGGAGCTATTCAATTGATATGTTTGAAGTACTAAATTCATGAATGAGTGTTTAATAGGGTTCATGTACCTTTGATCTTGTATCACCTATATATAGAGATATCCTAACCTCTCTTTGTAACTGGAACAAGAACAACTTTTGACCAATTGAAATAATAAGACAACAGTTCTCTATTCTCTCTCTACTTGTTATTCTAATATTCTCTCTATTTCTTTCTCTAATATTCCAATCCCTATTATAGAGTTTATTTTATTAATTTCACAACACGAGTCTATAAGTGACGCCCCCACTTCTCCCAAGAGCGAACCCGAGAGTATCGGCGGCACGCTTGCCTAACTCGCGCCAGGACTCGAAAATGCCAAACAATAAAAGCTAAATAAACCAAAAGAGTACTATTTACAATATATACAACCCCAAAAGTGATCTATTTACATTCTCAAAAGGAGTTATCCAACTACTACATCACCTAATGATAATGACCAAAATCAGAAAATAGACCCGAAGAAGGGTCCTTACACAGATCACTAAAATAAGGATAACCATCTTAACTATTCAACTATTACAAGTAAACCTAACTATACTAGTGAATGTACCAAGGAGTTCCCCGCGTCGGTCCCTGCTAAGGAAAACAATGGGAAAGGGGTAAGCTATATGCTTAGTGATTAATCAGGGGTAAAAATGTAATTTTTATGTCAACATTTGCACAGTGAGAGCAAAGCAAAAGCAGAAAAGTAACACCACATGGTAAGGATACGGGTGGCTCCCAAACCAACTCATTTGTCGAGTTTGATCACTGGTTGACCCTTGGGAACCTGAGCCACACAGCTCGTTTCTCTTAAAGGATCACACATAGAGAGACCATGAGGCTCAACTCAAGTCACGAGCAATAAATGCTCAAAATATTTTCCAAGCAATAAAGGCTCTAAAATCGTAGTTCAAGCAATAATTTCTCTAGTTCAAGCAATAAATGCTCTCAAATTGCGTCACAAGCAATAAATGCTCCGCAAATGTTTCACAAGCAATAAATGCTTCATAACAAATCACAAAATCATATTTCACAGGTATCAAGAGCAATTAATGGGTTTTAGATCGAGTGCGATAAAGTACACTCTCGCCTAAGTGCCCATTTTTCATAGTAAACTTATATTAGTATTGAGTTACACAGAAACCCTGATTACTCACCTAAAGAGCAAGTATAATGAGAGAAAGTACGGAAATGAATTTAAATCGTCAGTTAGTGGGCCCCACCGGCACCGTCTAGCCCGGCACCGCCTGTAGCAGAAGGTTGAGCCATATTATCACACAAACAACTACTAAAGTGCGTAAATTAAGCAAAACGGCAAAATTGGCACATGCATGTGCGGAATTGGCAAACGGAAATGGAAACGGCCGGCAAACGGAAATGGGCATAGTTACTGTCCCAAACTCTTTTGACCATAAGTTAGGTTGAGAATGTCAGATTAAGGTGTACAAGATACCGTTTCGAAGCTAAAAGAAAAGGCTACAACTTTCATGAAGACATCTAAATTCAGATCTGAACAAAAATAGGTCGAAAGTATGAAAAACCGTGCCAAAAATTTGCACTTTAGGGTAACGGACAGGGTCTGCTGGCCGGACCATATCTCACAGCTCACAAGTCCAAATCAAGAAATTCCAAAGACGTTAGAAAACTGTGTCATAATTCTAAAACTTTTATGTTTTGACCAAAACCTGAATCAATACGGAGCAGCGTGAAAACTGGGTCCAAAGTTCCTGTCAGAATTGTCCAAATTCAAAGGCAGTTCTGACAACCGATCTTGTTTTGGTCATAACAGGAGCTAAGGAATTCGGATTTGGATGCACTTTATACCGTTTCGAAACTAAGACCAAGATCTACATTTCTTATGAAGGGATCAATACCCATTTCATACGTTATAAAGACGGACAAAGCATGGTCATAAGCAAAATTCAAAAATGTAACACAATCCAGTGTTCAAAACAGGAGTGAGTGTTTTGGTTATAACTCGGGCTACACTGATCCGTTTGACCTGAAATTTTGCAGGCACATCAAAGACTTAAGAATCTACAACTTTAATGTTTTGCGCAGCTTCCGAATCAGCACACAGAATAAAGAAAAACAGAGTCCAAGTTCGGATTTGTGAACGGCCCTGTTCTAGTTTTGCCGGTTTTTGAACTTTGCAAATACATGGTCCATTGCTATGATTCTTATACAAGTTTTCTAACCAATTTTCATACCAAATAATACTACATATACCAGATTCTAAAAGACCTAGTAATGGTCCAAAATTTCCTTTCCCAAATTACCAAATATTAACCACCATCTAGGTTCCAATTTCACTAATTCTTTACTAATTTCAAAACCTTAATCCACTAAACCCTAACCTTCCAAGTTCTAACTAAACCAAACTAATTTTCCTTTTTCATTAGGGTTCCATAACAAACCTGATTTTATTAAGAATTTATCATTCAAATGACTTAATTACACCAAAAGTTTCATTATCAAGTCCAATCACTAACCAAATTAACTAAGTGAAGCTTAACCAACAATCCCTAATCTCTTCTAGCCTTAACCAAAATTTCAGCAACATTATCACTAAATTAAACCATGAAATTACTCCATAATCACCATATAATCATCATCTACATCATGAAAAATCAGAAACATAACAAAAGCACCACTTTTCATGGATTCTAGTCTTAACTACCCAAAACCAACTTTCAAATAGGATGATTTACCTTTGATTCAAGCTTTGTAGATGATCAAACCACTACAATCAACTGCCAAGGTTGTTGTTCTAGGCTCCAAGATCAAGATTAATGGACAAAAGTTGATGCACCAAAGGAATTTTTCTTCTCCCTTTTCTCTCCAATTTTCGGCCCTTTCTTTCTCTTTTTCTTTGTTATTTTTGTTGTTTTATGACTTGGTTTCTCTTGTATGTTCTAGATATAAGCTTAGTCATGACATTAGAAGATATTTTCCCTCACACCCAATCACATAAAAGCTTCCATTTTGCTCCTTTAACCCTTACTCCTCAATTTACCTTTTATTCAACTCTTGCCCTTAAACATTTGAACTCCTTGCAATATACTCCATAGAGCTTAAACCTAATCTAGTCCAAACTAATTAATCTTACTTAATCTCTCTACTAATCACTCCACTAACTTAATCATCTATCCTTAATTATTCCTTATTCCACATAAAAGCAACTAAACCACAATCTTTTTACATTAGCCAGATTAAGGGTTTTAAACCCAACTTAAGGTTGGTCAATTAACAAAACACTAGGGAATTTACTAGTGTAAGACTTTTTAACTTTTTAATGCTACTTAATCTTTATAAAAGAATTCGAATCCGATATTTACTCATACGAAAACATACATTAGCATGCATAATATTTACTACCACATAAACTTATAATTAATACGTAAACTAGGGTTTTGTGTAAAAATATCAAAGGTGTAAATCCATTAGGGTTCTAATAAAATTCCAGATTAAGTTTTTCGATTCTAAAAAGCAAAATCACATGTAAAGAATTACCATCATCCATAAAATCAAATTTTATAACAAAATTTAACACTAATATTCCTTATTCAAAATTAAGGACGAATCGGGAACTTACAACCTCCCCCTCTTAAAAGAATTTCGTTCTCAAAATTCATACGTTCTGTGTCCCTGATCGGCTTAGAAATAGTTTCCTTCGTCCTTGATTTATTTCCTTCCCTCGACTTCTGAGGGCACTGAGCAACTAGGTGTTCATTGCTACCACATCGGAAACATCGCCGATTTTTCTCTTTCTTCCAACAGGTATCTTCCGTATGGTTAGTGGCCCCCCAGACATCACATACTCTTCTGGTTCCGAACATCGATTCCCCATGTGAGACACCACTTTGGAGCCCTTTTCCTGCTTGATCTTCCCTTGTTTTACCTTGATTCGGAGTCCCCACTGGTCGTGTACCATCGGCTTCCTTACTCCTCTTACTAGGTGGATCGCTTCCCGAGCTTTGCCCGCCAGTGTAGGTATAGGTGTCAGATGGTGTACTTTTCTTGTCACGGAAAGCTTTCACCTGACTCCTTGCAGTCTCTATTCGCTGTGCCTTTTCCAGGGTCTGGCTGAATGTATCCAACTGGGCAGCCGCCAATGCCTCTTGTATTTTCACGTTTAATCCCTGGACAAACTGACGAATTCTCTTTCGGTCTGTTAGTACTAACTCTGGAGCAAAACGAGAGAGTTTGGTAAATTGTGTCTCATACTCTGCCACACTTAACGGCCCTTGACGCGGGCGGATAAAGTACTCTTCCCGCCTTTCTTGAACAATCGGTGGCAAATATTTCTCGTTAAACTCACGGGTGAAATTGACCCAAGTCCGGGGGATCTACTCTCGTTCCCACTTAGCCTTTATTACATTCCACCATGCTCGGGCGGGTCCCTCAAATTGGAAGACAGCAAAAGATACCTGTCGTTCCTCTGGATACCCGAGCACCGCGAATATATCCATCATGCGATCCTTCCATCCCTCGGCTAAGTCAGGGTTAGGTCCACCTATGAATTTTGGGGGTGCAAAATTTTGGAACCGCTCTAAGGCACGGTCCACACCTTCGTGATTGCCCGGATTATTTCCAGGGTTTCCGGCATTATTCCCATGACCCTGACCCTGTTGGTCCACCATTCGTGCCAGCAAATCTGCCATCCGTTGTATGGCTGTAGCTACTTGGCTATCATTTTGGGGGTTCACATTTTCATTTTCTACCCTTTCAGGTTCTGGTCTCCGTCCTCTATCTTTTCCTCGGCCTCGGCCTCATCCCCTATCTCCACTTCGACCGCCAGCTTCCATTTATTTTGAAAACTTTACCATATAAAACACCATATAAAACACACTAAATGATCAAAATTTTTGGACATGCATATACAGGTTTACACCAAAAATATGCACAAATTAGCCAACTCAACTCAAGTCACGAGCAATAAATGCTCAAAAATATTTTCCAAGCAATAAATGCTCTAAAATCGTAGTTCAAGCAATAAATGCTCTCAAATTGCGTCATAAGCAATAAATGCTCCGCAAATTTTCACAAGCAATAAATACTCCATAACAAATCACAAAATCATATTTCACAGGTATCAAGGGCAACTAATGGATTTTAGATCGAGTACGATAAAGTACACTCTCGCCTAAGTACCCATTTTTTATAGTAAACTCATATTAGTATTGAATTACACAGAAACCCTGATTACTCACCTAAAGAGCAAGTATAATGAGAGAAAGTACGGAAATGAATATAAGTCGTCAGTTAGTGGGCCCCGCCAGCACCGTCTAGCCCGGCACCGCCTGTAGCAGAAGGTTGAGCCATATTATCACACAAACAACTACTAAAGTGCGTAAATTAAGCAAAACGGCAAAATTGGCACATGCATGTGCGGAATTAGCAAACGGAAATGGAAACGTCCGGCAAACGGAAATGGGCATAGTTACTGTCCCAAACTCTTTTGACCATAAGTTAGGCTAAGAATGTCGGATTAAAGTGTATAAGATACCGTTTCGAAGCTAAAAGAAAAGGCTACAACTTTCATGAAGACATCTAAATTCGGATCTGAACAAAAATAGGTCGAAAGTATGAAAAACCGTGCCAAAAATTTTGCACTTTAGGGTAACGGACAGGGTCTGTTGGCCGAACCATATCTCACACCTCACAAGTCCAAATCAAGAAATTCCAAAGACGTTAGAAAGCTGTGTCATAATGCTAAAACTTTTATGTTTTGACCAAAACCTGAATCAATACGGAGAAGAGTGAAAACCGGGTCCAAAGTTCCTGTCAGAATTGTCCAAATTCAAAGGCAGTTCTGACAACCGATCTTGTTTTGGTCATAACTGGAGCTACGGAATTCGAATTTGGATGCACTTTATACCATTTCGAAGCTAAGACCAAGATCTACATTTCTTATGAAGGGATCAATACCCATTTCATAAATTATCAAGACAGACAAAGCATGGTCATAAGCAAAATTCAAAAATGTAACACAATCCAGTGTTCAAAACAGGAGTGAGTGTTTTGGTTATAACTCGGTCTACACTGATCCGTTTGACCTGAAATTTTGCAGGCACATCAAAAACTTAAGAATCTACAACTTTAATGTTTTGCGCGGCTTCCGAATCAGAACACAGAATAAAGAAAAACAGAGTCCAAGTTCGGATTTGTGAACGGCCCTGTTCTAGTTTTGCCGGTTTTTGAACTTTGCAAATACATGGTCCATTGCTATGATTCTTATACAAGTTTTCTAACCAATTTTCATACCAAATAATACTACATATACCAGATTCTAAAAGACCTAGTAATGGTCCAAAATTTCCTTTCCCAAATTACCAAATATTAACCACCATCTAGGTTCCAATTTCACTAATTCTTTACTAACTTCAAAACCTTAATCCACTAAACCCTAACCTTCCAAGTTCTAACTAAACCAAACTAATTTTCCTTTTTCATTAGGGTTCCATAACAAACCTGATTTTATTAAGAATTTATCATTCAAATGACTTAATTACACCAAAAGTTTCATTATCAAGTCCAATCACTAACCAAATTAACTAAGTGAAGCTTAACCAACAATCCCTAATCTCTTCTAGCCTTAACCAAAATTTCAGCAACATTATCACTAAATTAAACCATGAAATTACTCCATAATCACCATATAATCATCATCTACATCATGAAAAATCAGAAACATAACAAAAGCACCACTTTTCATGGATTCAAGTCTTAACTACCCAAAACCAACTTTCAAATAGGATGATTTACCTTTGATTCAAGCTTTGTAGATGATCAAACCACCACAATCAACTGCCAAGGTTGTTGTTCTAGGCTCCAAGATCAAGATTAATGGATAAAAGTTGATGCACCAAAGGAATTTTTCTTCTCCCTTTTCTCTCCAATTTTCGGCCCTTTCTTTCTCTTTTTCTTTGTTATTTTTGTTGTTTTATGACTTGGTTTCTCTTGTATGTTCTAGATATAAGCTTAGTCATGACATTAGAAGATATTTTCCCTCACACCCATTCACATAAAAACTTTCATTTTGCTCCTTTAACCCTTACTCCTCAATTTACCTTTTATTCAACTCTTGCCCTTAAACATTTGAACTCCTTGCAATATACTCCATAGAGCTTAAACCTAATCTAGTCCAAACTAATTAATCTTACTTAATCTCTCTACTAATCACTCCACTAACTTAATCATCTATCCTTAATTATTCCTTATTCCACATAAAAGCAACTAAACCACAATCTTTTTACATTAGCCAGATTAAGGGTTTTAAACCCAACTTAAGGTTGGTCAATTAACAAAACACTAGGGAATTTACTAGTGTAAGACTTTTTAACTTTCTAATGCTACTTAATCTTTATAAAAGAATTCGAATCCGATATTTACTCATACGAAAACATACATTAGCATGCATAATATTTACTACCACATAAACTTATAATTAATACGTAAACTAGGGTTTTGTGTAAAAATATCAAAGGTGTAAATCCATTAGGATTTTAATAAAATTCCAAATTAAGTTTTTCGATTCTGAAAAGCAAAATCACATGCAAAGAATTACCATCATCCATAAAATGAAATTTTATAACAAAATTTAACACTAATATTCCTTATTCAAAATTAAGGACGAATCGGGATCTTACAACCTCCCCCTCTTAGAAGAATTTCGTTCTCAAAATTCATACCTTCGGTGTCCCTGATCGGCCTAGAAATAGTTTCCTTCGTCCCTGATTTATTTCCTTCCCTCGACTTCTGAGGGCACTGAGCAACTAGGTGTTCATTGCTACCACATCGGAAACATCGCCGATTTTTCTCTTTCTTCCAACAGGTATCTTCCGTATGGTTAGTGGCTCCCCAGACATCACATACTCTTCTGCTTCCGAACATCGATTCCCCATGTGAGACACCACTTTGGAGCCCTTTTCCTGCTTGATCTTCCCTTGTTTTACCTGGATTCGGAGTCCCCACTGGTCGTGTACCATCGGCTTCCTTACTCCTCTTACTAGGTGGCTCGCTTCCCGAGCTTTGCCCGCCAGTGTAGGTATAGGTGTCAGATGGTGTTCTTTTCTTGTCACGAAAAACTTTCACCTGACTCCTTGCTGTCTCTATTCGTTGTGCCTTTTCTAGGGTCTGGCTGAATGTATCCAACTGGGCAGCCGCTAATGCCTCTTGTATTTTCACGTTTAATCCCTGGACAAACCGACGAATTCTCTTTCGATCTGTTAGTACTAACTCTGGAGCAAAACGAGAGAGTTTGGTAAATTGTGTCTCGTATTCTGCCACACTTAACGGCCCTGGACGAAGGCGGGTAAAGTCCTCTTCCCGCCTTTCTTGAACAATCGGTGGCAAATACTTCTCGTTAAATTCATGGGTGAAATTGACCCAAGTCCAGGAGGTCTGCTCTCGTTCCCACTTAGCCTTTATTACATTCCACCATGCTCGGGTTGGTCCCTCAAATTGGAAGACAGCAAAAGATACCTGCCGTTCCTCTGGATACCCGAGCGCCGCGAATATATCCATCATGCGATCCTTCCATCCCTCGGCTAAGTCAGGGTTAGGTCCACCTATGAATTTTTGGGGTGCAAAATTTTGGAACCGCTCTAAGGCACGATCCACACTTTCGTGATTGCCCGGATTATTTCCAGGGTTTCCGGCATTATTCCCATGACCCTGACCCTGTTGGTCCACCATTCGTGCCAGCAAATCTGCCATCCGTTGTATGGCTGTAGCTACTTGGTTATCAATTTGGTGGTTCGCATTTTCATTTTCTACCCTTTCGGGTTCTGGTCTCCGTCCCCTACCTTTTCCTCGGCCTCGGCCTCGTCCCCTACCTCCACTTCGACCACCAACTTTCATTTATTTTGAAAAGTTTACCATATAAAACACCATATAAAATACACTAAATGATCAAAATTTTTGGACATGCATATACAGGTTTACTCCAAAAATATGCACAAATTAGCCAAAATGCAGTTAGTACCAAAACAATGAACACATCAATTTCAAAACAAATCAATGGGACAACAAAGTAATTCAAGTCAACGGCTCTAACGCAACTCCCCTGCGGAGCCCACCTAATCCACCAGCACCGCCCCGACGGCCCTAGAGTGCAAACCTAAAGAATAGTTCCAAATAGCTAACTTCAACATTAAGTAAGAACCAAGTCGATTCACACTGGGACTGGCCATCTCCAAGTGCAATCAACTCAATCCCCACTTTGCCTTATGGAAAAGTTACAAATGTCCAATATCAAAATCCTAGCATTCAAAATTTACCTTAATAGCCAAGTACCCCACAGTCCGGCATCCTAAATGTTGAAACCTCGGATGCACTACAAGGATCTGAAACCAAAGCTCTAATACCAACTGTGACGCCCCCACTTCTCCCAAGGGCGAACTCGAGGGTATCGGCAGGACGCCTGCTTAGCTCGCGCCAGGACTCGAAAATGCAAAACAATAAAAGCTAAATAAACCAAAAGAGTACTATTTACAATATATACAACCCCAAAAGTGTTCTATTTACATCCTCAAAAGGAGTTATCCAACTACTACATCACCTTATGATAATGACCAAAATCAGAAAATAGACCCGAAGAAGGGTCCTTCCACAGATCACTAAAATAAGGATAACCATCTTAACTATTCAACTATTACAA